TTTATTGTTGTTGTGCTTTTTAATTAAAAATTACAATGAATCCATCTTTTGTTTTAGTCTTAAAAAGTGAAAGGTGTATAGATGTAGGCAAAACAGACAACTATATTTTATTGTAAAACGTGACAAGATCGCGAAATCGAAAGTGAAAGCATCGGAGGCCCGGCTTATAACACAGCAAAAGAGGAACTCCCATTCACAAAATTCAAATCACAAATAATAGGCTACTACTGATGAAAAAGAACGGGTTGAATGTTAACCACTTTCGTTTCCATATAACTATAAACTATGATAAAAGTTCATCAGCATGCATTGATTAATCCCATGTTGTAGCAAATAAAACACAAAAAAAACATATGCTTGTCAGACCAACTGAGAAAGTTAGTCGCAAAAAAGAGCAACCAGTGGAAAGAATGAGTCTGGAACCAAGCGGCAACCTTCCGCTCTCTCTCGTGAAGCCAACAAGGAAGTGACTTAAACTGTAATACAGTGACGTCACGGACACTACGTCCATGTTTTTATACAGTCTATGTTCTGGAGCATAGATTTGCCCAGTTCCCCCTGTCAATAATCTAGCACCCCCTCAGCACCTGCATTAAAAATTCTCTGGCGCTGCCCCTGCCTGTAATTGTTCATAATTGCCTGGAAGTTGTCCTCAAAATGTTCAAATGTTTGGTGAACAACTTGAAAGTCCAGATAATTTAGCACGAAAAAATAATTTGTAACTTCCTGAAGTAAAAAATCTTAACTATCACTCTTCCAAAAAAAAAAAGAAAAAAAAAATTATTTCCTCATATTCTAAGATTCATATGAAGCTGGTCGCCTTGGCATTAAATACAGACAGTTAAATCATATACATTTCCTCTGCTGTATGTCTTGTTCAGTTTCATAATAGTGAACAAGAATGTTAGGGTCTCATGTGTGTAACCAAGAACAGATGTCAGATGTTTTGTCTCTGCATTGTGTCCCACTGGAAGTTGTGTCAGACTGACATTCATAATATCTATTAAAGAAACATGGCTTCAAAGAGCACATCAGAGATATATTTCAATTTAAAAATACTCGTATCGTGCCAGAGTACAGAGTTTAGGGTGCAGGGTAGGCAAGGTATAAGGTGATATATCATTATTTAGACCAATAAACCATCCCAGCCATACAAATACACACGATTAAATTTCACAGGAGGCTGACACACATGACACTGAAATTAAATTTAAAACTAAAGTTGTCCATTTGTTTGCTGTGGACAGTTGGTACAGTATATTGAATTACACATGCCTCCATGGTCCTATTGTGCTCGAAGAATACTGCAGTGGAAAGACATAATCTGTCTTTGGGGAAATATAGAGATTGCAGTGTGGGTCTGCCTCTAATGATAGCAGCAGTGCAGCAATGGGAAGAGAAAGAGTCAATAGATTACAGACAGACAGCTCTCCAATGTCTCACAAGCACTTTAGTGTGAAAATGCTGAGTCCTTCTGAATTATAAAGCACATTATTAACCCTACAAATCTTACTAGATCATATTTGATACATGAATTTCTAAGGCCTCTAAATTATCAACTTGATCAAACCTTTGCTGAAAAACCTGTTGTAATCAATCTTCTACTTTCCACCTTCTGACTGATTGATAGACTATGACTACTGATTGATAGATACATGTTAAGGAAGTAAAAGGCCTGAAAAAATGTCCACCTTCAGGTTGTGGTACATGCATAATTTTGCTGTGAAATCTTTAATATATTTTTATATTTTTCATAAGTTTTATATTGTTATTAATATTTTAAGATGAATATTTACTGGACTGGAGCTACTTAAATTTACTTGATTATCCATATATATACTTTTTGTTTAAGAAAAATCATGTTAAAATGCATGTATCAAATATTATACAACAGACTTTTGAAGAACATTTATTTGTACATCAGTCAAATGTGTGTATATATATATATATATATATATATATACATACACACACACACACACACACATATCTATTATTGCTTATTTTTTATCAGTTTAATTGGGCCTCTGGATAAAATGGTTTTTTTCTTTGAGCTCCTTTTTCCTCATCATATCATACTGTATAGGCTATTAAAGCCTGATGTATCAAAAAACAAACAAACATACAAACGTGTTTTAGACTTTAGAATAAAATGTTTCAAAAATATTACTATTATATCATATGTCAGGCTTTACAGGGTTAAATGTATGACAGTGTATTGTACGGGTGGGGAAATTTTTATTGCATATTAAACAAAGAACAACAGAATAGCTATGGTATATTCCAGTCGTGTAGCCTATAGATGTATGTGAAGTGCATGAAAAGTCCACAAGCAGTGTTATAAGAGCTGTGTTCCTTTTTCATGTGGAGCGCCAGGCAATCTGCCGAATGTGATTTTATAAGCAAGTGAAGGCTAGTACAGTTATACAATTCTCTCTCATTTTCTGTTACCTCACATGGGAGACAGTGAAAGAAAGAAAGAAAGAAAGCTCAAAAAGAGATTTTTTGAGCTTTTCTTGTTTTATGACTTGCTTGCATTCCATAACGTCACGTCAAGGTTTCGGTTGATACGTGATTTCACTTCCCTTTTCACTAAAGCACGTTCAGTTACACAGCACTGGTGGTAGGCTACTGTAGGTCTGTTTACTGAGACAACATTTTTAACACGTTCTGGCCCCTATTATGTCTAGATAGGCAGCTCACGGAGTGACATGTCCTACATTGCGTTAGTAATTATGTTCGCTAACGTGATCACAGTAAACTAGGACTCACACTTATTCTGGGCTTTCAGAAAGTTTAGCGCATTCTTTCCAAACTGATTTTTTTTTTTTTTTTGCGTTTATTTAAAGGTCATAATAGCCAGAATTTCCCCGTTTCATTTTAAAGGGTTAGTTCACCCCAAAATTTAAATGATGTCATTAATTACTATTATTACACCCTCATGTCATTCCAAACCCGTAAGACCTTCGTTCATCTTCGGAACACAAATTAAGATATTTTTGATGAAATCGGAGAGCTATCTGACCCTCCATAGACAGCAACGCAACTGAAATGTTCCCAGGTCCAGAAACGTAGTAAGGACAGCGGTAAAACAGTCCATGTGACATCAGTGGCTCAACTTCAGTTTTGCGATGCTACAAGAATACTTTTTTTGCGCAAATAAAACAAAAATAACAATTTACTCCATTAACCATTCTTCTCCCCCGAGTTACATCTTCCGCCATTTTGGAGAGTACCCAAGAACGTATTGGACGTAATCAGAGTTGTTTACGTTCGGGGGGAAAGTGCGCGCATGAACGTAATGTGCGTAATAAGTAAGGGATAATCAACGGCTAGCCGTGCATTAAAGGATTTTAATGCACGACGTGGAGGCAAAGAACCACCCGACGCGAAGCTGAGTGCCTCCGCGAAGTGCATTAAAGGGGTCATATGATGCTTTTTTAAAGATCATTATTTTGTGTATTTGGTGTAACAGAATATGTGCATTAAAGGATTTTAATGCACGACGTGGAGGCAAAGAACCACCCGATGCGATGCGGAGATAGAACGGTGATTAAACTGACTTGGAACTACCTGTGCATTAAACGGTTTTACTGCATACCTGCCAGCCAATCAGAATCCAGTATTCAGACAGACCATGGAATAAGCGTTGTTTATGCTCAGGGGAAAGCGTACGTATGCATTGTAATACTCTCTAAAATGGCGGAAGACGTAACTCGGGGGAGAAGAATGGTTGAGTAAATTGTTATTTTTGTTTTCTTTGCACAAAAAAAAAGTATTCTCGTAGCATCGCAAAACTGAAGTTGAGCCACTGATGTCACATGGACTGTTTTACCGCTGTCCTTACTACGTTTCTGGACCTGGGAACATTTCAGTTGCGTTGCTGTCTATGGAGGGTCAGATAGCTCTCCGATTTCATCAAAAATATCTTAATTTGTGTTCCGAAAATGAACGAAGGTCTCACGGGTTTGGAACGACATGAGGGTGAGTAATTAATGACAGAATTTTCATTTTGGGGTGAACTAACCCTTAAGTAGCCTCGGGGTGCATAACCGGGAGCAGATCTGGAATCAAAGTGATGTCCGAATCGTTTTCAATGATACAATTGAACCTGTTCACTAACTCGGTCTGAACGATTCGTTCACAAATCTGATTGAATCTGTCCTGGCGGTTTTTGAGTCAAGAATTTTAAATTATTTGAAAATGTTTAAATCACTTGAACGATTCCGATTAACAGAGAACATACCTTTTGAACATAATGATTCGAGAACCAATGAGTGGACTGATAGTAAAAGCATTTGTCTTAAAGTGTGGTGGTAAAAAATGTTACAAATAAAATTGTCTGAAAATATATTTACAACTGACTGACAGTTGTAACAGGCTTAGGAAGAAAGTACGTTTTAATTTAACTTTTTCAACCAAGGGATAGCAGGCCTAAATGTTGAGTTTAAGTTGTAAATACAAATTATTTGGATTGTGTTTTGAACTGAATCAAAGTGGACACATGAAATTAAACTATCCTTTACATTTTAGGCTTTTAATAAAACTTAATTGAAATTAAAAATGCAGATAGCAAACTGTGCTACAGACTTTAGGCTATATTTTATTTATCGTCTTTATTGAAACGGTTAATCGCATATGTAATATGCTACGTCAGGAATACAGGATACCACGCGATAACGGAATCACGTCATGATTTACAGTAGGCTATAAGAAAAGTTGAATCTGTATATGATTCTTTGAAACGAACTGTTCAAAGGAACCGAAACTAGGACTGAACTCGGACTTTCCATCATTATTCTAAACTCAACATTACATCAAGAGTCATGTGCTACCTTGTGCGTGCCTGGGGGCTTATTTAATGCCGAGACAAGGGGGAAAAACCTTATAGCCTAACTACTTTAAGGGTGGCCATATACAACACAAAACTTTTAAAACTGTATCTGTAGGTTTATTAAATGAAACTTAGATTTAAGACATTTCCATTTTCACGTCCTTACCTGCGATGTCCCATAGCTGTAGCCGCACTAGTGTTTTGCTGTCCCAGTTGAGGACTTTGAGCGCAAAATCCACTCCTATGGTCGCTCTGTAGTGTTGCGAAAAGAGTTGGTGCACGTATCGCTTGATGATGCTCGTCTTTCCCACACCAAGTTCCCCGATTACCAAAACTTTAAACAAATACTCCTTACACTCCGACACAGACCCGCCTGCCATGCTGCCAACTGTCAGTTATGAGAGAGGAAAGTTTTGGCAACTTTGAGCAACCACTTCCCCTCTGCTTCCTCACACAGTGTGGAGAAGTTCTTTCGATTACCAAAACTTTAAACAAATACTCCTTACACTCCGACACAGACCCGCCTGCCATGCTGCCAACTGTCAGTTATGAGAGAGGAAAGTTTTGGCAACTTTGAGCAACCACTTCCCCTCTACTCCCTCACACAGTTTGGAGAAGTGCTTTGGGTTCGGGGACGTAAGGAAAGTATTCAAACAGAAAGCACACGCTCCCTCTCCCTCTCAGGACAACCACCTGATAAGTCATAGGACCCGGAAATATCACGCCTCGACTGGATTGCTTTGCTTTTTTTTCACCCGCTTGGGCTTTAGGGTCAAATAAGTAAAGAACACACACACTCACGCGCTGCGGTCTGGTGAGTCGTGGAAGTTAAATAAAAGAGTTTGAATTTCAACATGTGAGTGCGAGTCTCGAATGCAAAGATTGCGCAACATCATATTTGGTGTGATCAAAAGCAGACGGAAACGAACACGAAGATTAAATAAAAACCTGATGTAGGCCTACCATTTTGAGTGCTTACAATATGAATAAATCGCTTTTATGGTGATGTGAGGTTAGAGAATGATGCTATTATGAAGTAACATTAAAATCTCATTTCGGAGATATTAAAGATAATGATGCCATGCCATAATAAAACTAAACTGATACTAAACTGTTCTTAATAGTGTATTAAAAACCCACTTGTATTTGCAACTCATAAAATAAAGATAAAAGTGCATAACCATTAAAAGCATCAAGCTCTTAAACGGAAAAGGTGGTGAAAAACAAAAGACAGCATTAAATATAAAATATTTATTTTACAGCATGATTTGTCCTGGCAGAAAGAGCATTCTCCTCATTTTTAAGTTTGACCATGTAAACAGGTGATCTTGTCAATTACTTTACATTGAACAAATGATTCTGTTCCAAACAACTTACACTAAAAGACCTAATAATATTACAATCCATTATAACAATTACAATATGTAAGATATTCAAGAATATTGTTCTTTTGAGAGTTGCATTCTAATAGTCCTGTAAAACTTAAAGCGTTACAGTAGTAAATCCATGTAATAATCCTATGCGAGACTGGCAGTAAATGCTACAAGTTACCACTAGAAGCAACTACTCATAGTTACAGTTTAAAAATGGAACATTAAAAGTCTGTAAAAGTCGCTGAAAAGTTACTCCAGCTTCATTGCCACCATATACAGTATAAGACGTTGTTTTTAAAACTTACAAATATCTCACATTCTAATCATAGAAACATATAGCAGAAATACAAAGACACCATCTGTGTGGAAAACGATAGATGGCAGAACAGTATACAAACGTTTGCAAAACATAGCTCCTTTTTTCTAGGATGAGTTCACGCATGAGACAAAGTAAAGTTGAGAAAAACACAGTTTCTTTTATTAACCTTGGCTCCACATTTAAGCTAAAATAGTATTCTATACCTAACATTACAATCAGCATTCTTGCATTTGACTCTCTAAGCAAAAGCACTGAAACTTACATTTGGGAGCCACAAGGAAATTGGAAAACACCTTAGCTGGGAAACTCCACGTTTACTCGTCCAGTCAACCAAGTGAGTTTTGTGCGCATATGATTTCTGTGTTTCACTCTGACTTGTGCACTGTTACTGAAACGGTTTAAAAAATGGAAATCAGATACCAAAACCAGATATACAGCAACCTGCTATGAAATTTGATTCTCTTTGTTGCACTCTCAGTACTGTTGCACTTATGTGTCTGTGCCGTCTACATCCTAAACCCTAATTTTTTCCATGATTGTTTTTGTGTTGCCAGTAGTAATGCAACTTTTGAATCAGAGCCAAGTCCAGGCAGCTACATAGTTCAAAAGCACATAAAATCCAAGAAAGTGTGTCTCATCCTGCTAAGAGTGAAATAGTAAAGCAGCAAGCTGGCATTATCACTCCTGGACTGTTGCGATGTCACTTGCCAGTGGATTTCGGGCACAGCAACACAATCATATTTGGCACTCCAACTTTCTGCAGTATTTTGGAAAACGGATGCTGCCAGCGCTGCCTCAGAGAAAAATATTCCCAACAGGACATCCCATTTGTTAAATTTTAGGGTTCTTCCTGCCTTCCGAAAGAGACTTACGAAGACTTACGAAGATAAGTAAGCAAGCAAATGATATCCTGCAGTGATCGAATAATAAACAGCGCTGTCCTGAGCGTGTGCTTTTACAGCGTAAAAGAGCTTTGTTTTGGGGCGTAGTTCATACTTTGGGAAAAGGGAGGGTTATTGTCAGAGCCGGGGGATCCGGGAATGGACCCCCCTGCCTGAAGCGAGTCCCTGAAGGGGGAAGGTGGAGTGAGCAGAGTCAGCTTACTCTGTGCCAACTCTTCCTCCACACCTTCCTCTTCCTCCTCCTCTTCTTGTGTGGCACTCTCACACAGAAACCCCTGAATGAGGTCAAGAGCTTCCAATTCTGAACCTTCCTCAGGGAACGCCTCCCCTTGCATCGGAAGAGGCAGCTGATTGGCGGACGATTTATAGGTGATGGGGCTCAACTTGTTGCCCGTGCCGATTACAAATTGGTCAAAATCAGGAAGCGTTGAGCTCAGGGTGTCCACCGGCCTCCCTTGAGGACAATCAGTGCTGTGGTCTATTAAATTAGGAGGGGAATAGGAAGGTGGTACCCCTCCCTCGTGGGTTGTAGGATGTTGGGGACCCCCATCGTGCCCCTCGCTGAGGTTGTAGAGATCCTTGTTGTCGGGGTGAGAGCCGGTGGGGGCTGTGTTGAGACCAGCATTACATTCAGACTCGGGGGGTTGTGAGGCATTAGTTAGGGGTCGTATGACCGCCGTCTGACTCTGGCCGACCGCTTGCCTCCTCACATGCACAGACAGTCTGTGGAACACACTCGACCCCCTCCCCTGGGGTCTGGCACCTGATTCAGACCATGACACAGACTTTCCATTAGGACTATGAATGAAACAGAGACCCAACGTTATTCCCACGAAGACATGCCAGAATGCGACACAGAGACAGAGAAGAACATCACAGAAAAATGATCATTATGCATGTCATCATTCATACAATTCATACAATTATCAGCCATAAAACTCTCATGATTAGGGTTAGCACACGATGCGTAACTCAACATTGTTAATTCATGAAGTCTCTGACAGAGATCCCTCAAACATGCCAAGTGCGTATCTCATAATGACCTGCTTACAGAGCATTATGAAAGCCACGATGGCTCATTCTCTGCCATCCCTTCTCTGCCCTGCTCTGCTCAAACTGAACATCATGCAGTATGAATAAGGGATTCATGGAATTCCCCTCAGTTTCAGATCAACATGGCATTCGCTGTCCGCTCTTAGTGTAATTAAGTTAACTGGACAGTAAGGTCTCAGAGCTGAAAGCTGCGTCAGAATCAAGGGGCGTTCACACTGACAGAGATTTGTAGCGACAAAGCATCTGGAAGTCAGTTGTTTTTAACAAGAGTGGGCAGATTTTGGCAATGTGATGTGGGTTGTCTGGTGATGCATCAAAATAGAGAAAAGTTTACGTTAATGCAAATGAGCAGCGATGTGCCAAATACCAGCAAGAGAAAAGTTTATGCAAACCATTTACATTTATGCAAATGACCAGTGATTACCAATGGGAGGGAAGTTTGTGCAAAAGTTTAGGTTTATGCAAAAGAGCGTTGACTTGATGAGGCGTCAGCGTTAAGAGTATTTCAAGTTCATGCAGATAAACAGTGACTCGATGCAGCAGCTACCAACAGGAGTGAAGTTTATGCAAATGAGCTGTGACTTCATGTGAAGGATACCAAGTGATTTGTCAAGTTAAGAAAAGTTAAATTTTATGCAATTGAGCAGGGACTCAATGTCTCAACTACCAATGGGAGTCAAGTTTATGCACACGTTTACGTTTATGCAAATGTGGAGCAAATCAATATAGTAACCAGTGAATACCAATAGGAGTTACGTTTATGCAGACATTTACTTTGATGCAAATAAGTAGTGACTTGACATGGCGAGTACTAACGAGAGGGAAAATTGCTACAAAAGTTTACATTTATGGCATCCAGTAAAAAGTCAAAGTTGAGAGTAGGTTATGCTTATGCAAATGAGCAGCGACGAGTCTGTTTCATGCATAATCGTTCATCTTGTTTACAACGCACAATGACTTGCTGTAATCTACAAACAAATAGTACTTTGTTTATTTTATGTTATAAAGTTACTTTTTAGCAGCCAGATAGCTCATTAAAATCTTTATTTTGCCTGGGATACATCTCATTTGTGATCAGACTATCTAAAGCCCACCCATCAACGTTAAAGCATCCAGCAGTAGGAAGTAAATTATCACGCAACATCACAACGACAAAATCGCTACCAGTGTGAATGGGGCATTAGAAGGGAACTGGATATGGGAGCTACAGCCTCTACGAGAACTGGGTTAAATTTTTAGTCAGGAGAAGGTTTGACATGGGGGGAGGAGGCACACTGAAAAGTGGGTTAATACTGAGGAGGAGAGAGGAACTAAGTGGATGGGTAGTTTGATGAAAATTAGGTTTTGGACGAGGATTCAGCACAGATAGAGGACGACCGATAATGTCTGGCTCGAGCTACATACATACTCTTGGTTTGCAGCAGGTAGAAAAACATGGGAGAGACAACTCAAATACACACACAATGCTAGAAAGAACACTTTCAGAGTTATCACTGCAGTCCAACTTGGCGTGCTACTGAGAAAGAAATACTATTATTTTATTTCCATACGTTTCATAGCCTGTATGTGCATTTAGCTGATATTTCAGAAATGTGACTCAAACCTATTATTATCTGTCACTCACTTAGTGCTGCCGGTCGCGTTGTTGTTGTTCTTCTTCCTGCGAAACATGTTGAGAATGCTGTTGCTCTGGCAAGGAGCCGCCTTCCCGTCGCCCACATGCATACGAACCACGTCTGAGGTCGTAAAGGCACTGCGCACGTTGCGCTCGGGCTTGGCGATGATGATGTACATCTTGGGCGTGAACATGCAGCTCAGTGCTACAGTAACACTGAGACTGACGGAGAAGGAGGTGGTGATGATCTTGTAGTTGGAGCCGAAGTAGATGGGCACAAAAGCCAGCCAGATAATGCAGGTGGTGTACATGGTGAATGCGATGTACTTGGCTTCGTTGAAGTTGGCAGGCACGTTGCGGGTCTTGAAGGCGTAGTAGGTGCAGCTCATGATGAGCAGGCCGTTGTAACCCAACGGAGCCACTACGCCCAAGTTACTCGTGTTACAGATGAGGTACACCTCCCTGATGCTGGGGTAGCTCTTCACCGGCTCGGGGGGTTCCAGCACGATCAGCGTAACCTCCACGGCCAGCTGGAAACTAATCAGGATGAAGGCG